ATTCTATTGATACAAATTTATGGACTAACAGTATGATCACAAGAGGACAGTTTCCATGGGCTATGCCAAAAGAAGGAAATTGTATGTTATAATACGTGGTACGGAAAATTTTATCACAATAGTGAACATGGCGAGCACCGTGTAGTCACATATTTATGTCATCTCGAGTGCCGGCGACCAAAGACTGCAAAAGATTAACACAGTGCCAAACACTGGCTGCAAGTTCACAGCTGATTTTAAAACATTTGCACAGTAATTTTATCAAAGTAAAAATTGAGCGCGACCAACAGAATGAAAAGACATTTTTTGTTTCATGGTTTTCGTGGCGATGATTAAACGACAAAGATAGCTACATATGCAATTTCATATCATTGTAATAGTTTTTTTAAATGTACAATACAATAGTATATAGTATACAATATATAATAGTATAATATATAATAGTATACAATAGTTCATTACCATATAAGCAAACTTAACTGAATTAAATATTGTCACGGGCAGGTTTATCACACATATTCTGCCATGCTCCGGCCAAAGATGTAACAATAACACTAACTAGTACACCATTATAATCACAGCCTAGATATCTACTCAGCACACGTTAGACTCGCAGATGTCGTCTCTAATAATAATAAAACATCTAAATAAGCTAAGTTACTCACCGTCGCTTCCGTCCTTTCTTGCGTTTTTTATCCAGCACTTCATCATCATCGTCATCCTCTTCCTCGTCGTCGAACTCATCATCAATGGCCTTCAGCCATTCCTTTTCCGTCAGCGAGTCTGTGTAGTCCACCTCCTTGCGTTGTCGCGACCCGCGCCCTAGAGCCTCGTCGTCATCAAAGCTCCAGCCTTGACCCTAATGTTAAATGGGCTTATTTTAGTAAATTAGACTTAAATGCTTTTTTAATATTGGAATACAACGAAATGTTGCAGAACCTTCTTCAAATGTTGTTGAATTACAATAGCAAGAATGCATTTTTGTAGCTTTGTTGTCTTTGAAAATAAAATAAAATGTGGTTGTCTGAGAAATTGAATACATAAAAAACGCATAGTTTTACGTGGCGAATACAAACGATGTAAATAAATTAAAAATTACCGTGAAGATAAAACATTTATATTTTCTATCAACTAAAATAAAAAATGTTCAAAGATATACTATTTAGACAAGCAGCTCTGCAAAATGTTTGTTCGTACTATAAACACCATAACAGCCCTATCGTTTAGCTATCAAATCATAGATTTAGTATATAGGTACCCATTGATTGGCAACGCAAGTGAAAGAGCGTTAGTATACACGTATGTTAGAGCGAGATGGGTAGACGAGACCACTTCATTATACGCTATGAGCCAGTATGAACCTAGGGTCAGCTGACAACGAAACAAATTTCGTTTATTTTTGAAGATAATTGGTTTTAAAATGTGAAATAGTGTCAAACGGACGTTTATTAGTCATGGTATCGTGTTCAGCGCCCGGATGTAACTCATCTAAAAAGGAAAACTCGCAGAATTGTACATTTCACATGAATTTATGAATTTATTTGTAAGTACTACATTTACATGTAAGTACTATTTAAATTTTTAGCTATGAAAAAGCACTACCACAAAAGTTTTTTACATAAATATATCCGTAAAATTATACCATTTAAGTGCATTAAAAACCCAAGTGTATACGAATTCAATAAAAAAATATATCAAATACGTAAATTTCGGACATTCATAACCCCACTTTCATAGAGATTGACGCAATCGATAATATGTTATCAAGATATCATTAACTGAAAAAAAGAAAGGCAAAGGCGTGGCGTGCCGAAATCATCTTCATACTTAATATTATTGAATCAGAAATTTCTGGTTTTAGTACTTTATATTTAATTAAATTTGTTATTGTATCATTAGTGCATTATTTTTTGTCTACATTAAAACGAAAATTTCTTTTATAGCGTAGTTGAGGCATCCATTTTTTTATGTTAATTATTGTTGTTGATTCAGATTTCCTCAAAACATTGAAGTACGACAAGAATGGCTTATAATGCTGAAGAGAGAAAACTGGGTTCCCAAAAAGTTTTCAAAAATATGCAGCAAACACTTCGAGGAAAAATGCTTTTCCTTTAGAGACAAGCAAAGAGTAAAGCAACCTTCTGGTTCTGTACCCACATTATTCATTGTATATCTTACAATTAATGGATTTTAGTGTAGTACTACTTTCGTCAACAACAAATCAGCGGTTTTTAGAGTTCTGTTCCGTTTCGAAATACGATACTCATATACGATCACTTGTGTGTCCATCTGTCCGTCTGTCACAGCCAATTTACTCCAAACCTACTGGACTGATTATTTTGAAATTAGGTACACATATGCATTTGTGTGACCAAAACGTGTAACGTAAATAAATGAATTCTGAATTTGAAGTCACTATTGGGAGGGAAAGTTCTCAAGTATATATTTTTTGTAATTTTGAAATATAAATATTTTCAAGTTGTTTAAGAAAATAGACGAAAATTGATATTCCCCCCTTTATCTTCGAAACTATTGAGCCTAAAGTTTTGAAAAAAATACAGAAATTGTCTTTAAATCTCTCACTATTGTGCGAATAAACCTAAATTTGCTGCTGGAATCCGGTGTAATATGTTAATCAATATTAAAGTTAAATGGTGAATGGCGAAACAGAAAGAACGAAAAACAGTGGATGGCGCAACACTATTTATCTTGCAAAAATGCACATTATACGCACACAGATGTATTTTTGTTTTGGTCTCGTCTCCAATACTTCAGAGCCAATCTTGGATATACTAAATTTATGTATCAAATACATAATTCTAAACATGTTTGTATCATTACAAGACCAAATGAAACTGACCTTGCTGCAAACAACTTCGTCATCATCCTTCACCAACCAATCAGGCAATTCAGACTCCTCGATAAGCCGGGACTGAGTCTCATTCTTCTTTCGTTCTATATCGATTTGTTTAAATATCTCCAGCTCCTCCTCTGAGCGAGCTATCATTTCGTTAATTAGATCATCGTCGGGGACTTCGTTTTCTTCCTGTGGAAAGCGACAAATAGTAAAGGTAGCGTCAATTCAACAGAGCAATGATTGTTATTAATGAACTACAACAAAGTTTTACAAAAACGATGCACAGATCTGACAGTCGACGTTTAAACTGTTGGAATAATGATTGAACTAACTGAACGATAAAATAACAATATCATTATTTTATAATCGTTCATTTTTTTATTTCGTTTATTCTCAATAGCTCCATGTTCTCAGTGTGTTATTAATTCAGTTACCAAATAGTAGTTCAGATGCTTAATTTATTTATTTAAAATGCAAGTCACAACAATACAAGTTCCATTTAGCTCGACACTGCCATTAAATATGTATAATTAATTACCAAACTACTTGGCATTCCAGATTGCGAAAAAATAAAAAACAACTTAGCTCCATTATCTACCCAGCCGCAGGGGAGAGGCGTGTATTGCATCCATCAATCGTATTTAGTTATTTTGCCATCCCAAAACAAGCGACAAGTGACGTTTTGCGGCCAACAATGATTGTTGAAACACTACCACCTCTCCACTATGGCTTGTTCTATAACGGGTCTAATTCTATGTGCAAAGCCTTCATAGTAGAAGTCTATGACAGTAGTAAACTATATATATATATATATATATATATATATATTACGTTTATGGCTTGCTACAAGAAGTGCGTAAGTAATATGGACTTAAGCATTTACAGTAACAAGCCACAGATATATGACTGAATATGAAACTGAGCGGGGTTACGGTAATTAAACGTGGTTTTAACGTTTATTTTACATGGTTACCTACCTCTTCGTCATCCCCGTCTTGATGCAAAATGGTCTGCAGGAACTGCTGTCGTTCTGACCCCGTGGACTTCTGGTCAAACATACCAGCTTGGATGACTTTCTCGTCCATGTTCAATTTGTACCTGCGCACATCAGTTATTTGTATAGAGACACAGTATCATTTTCTTTTTCTTTATATTCACATTCTCTCAATTTAGATACACCAACTATATTATTAACACAATGGAGCGTTAGGAGAGGAAAGTACTTTAACAATTCCAATATTTTATATATTGTAAACAACTACTTATGTCATACCAACGAAATAGCTTTATATGAAATAAAATGTAGCTATACCTAGCAGCTGCAAGAATTCTCTCTTCTACGGAATTGACAGTCATCAACCGTAGCACGCGGACTTCGTTGCGCTGGCCGATACGATGCGCACGATCTTGAGCTTGCAAATCCTGAGAAATAATTACGGTAGTAAGTATGATCGTGTAAGCTAGGCCACACCTAAAGACCAGTTTACAACATTTAAGTAAAAAGTGACGTTTATGTTCACTAAAGCTTTTTTATTATAATATTAAGTGGCGGGACGAACATGTCGTGCGCCTGATGATAAGCTACACGCCTGTCCATAACAGTTGCAGTGCCATTCAGAGCTTTAAATCGCAAAGATCTGAGGGACACTGCCACTGCGCCTGTCACCCTGAGACATAGTTGACAAATCCCATGTACCTGTAATTTCACCAGCATCCTTACCCTTCTAAACCGGAACGCAGTAATACTAACATTACTGGTTGGCGGCAGAAACAGGTAAGGTGGCAGTATCTCTCTGGACGAACCCTTTCACAAGGAGCTCTAGTGCTGCTAAAAAGCCGATGTGGTGACGTACCTGATGTGGATTCCAATCAGAATCGAAAATGATGACAGTGTCAGCGCTTTGCAGGTTGAGTCCGAGCCCGCCGGCACGTGTCGACAACAGGAAAAGGAAGTACTCGGAGTCCTTGTCGTTGAACTTCTTGAGCAACTCGCCACGATCCTCTGCTTTGGTCATACCGTCCAATCTAACAGGCAAACACAGAAAATGCATGTTAGTGTTTGTCCCACTTTCTTCTTCAGCATATTTACACTTAAAATTGCCTCGTTAATTTGTATCAAAACCACAGAAACTGCAATTTAATTGAACTAGTCGTTTAAAAATCGAGAAGAACGACCGCCGACAATTAACCTTTTGTCACATTCAAAGATTCAATCGCAATTCGCAAAAAGGTAGTAAGTAAATCTTACCTCAAGTACTGGAATCCTCTCCAGGAGAGATAGTCTTCAATAATAGTCATGCACTGCGTCATCTGGCAGAAGACAAGCACGCGGTGCCCAGTGGTCTTCAGTTTGGGCAGAACGCGGTCCAGCAGCTCAAATTTACCCGATACACGGTATAGGTCCGGCCTGCGCACAATTTGAATTAGGAATGCCACCAACTATTATCACGTTTACTAGAAGATACATTGCGGCTAAAGGCGACTGCGCACTACGTCGGAATCGTATCAGGGGGTCTACTCTCGATCTCCGTCCGAAACAATTACTATCAAACAAGGAATATTCGACAAAATTAAAAGACAAGTATCAAGAATGAAGCTTCATTCGCATCACGCGTCCTTTCATTTGGTTAAGTATTGCTTATTTGGCAGTAATTGTTTCGGACGGAGATCGAGAGTAGACCCTCAGTTCCGAATCCGAGAATTGACGGTCCGAAATGTCACAGGGATCATTTTATCTCTAAGTGTACAAGCGATATTTATATATTCTCGGATGCGAATCGGACTTAGAGCACAAGCGACATCCGAAGTGGGTCCGAGTTTTCTAGATTTGTATAATCTCGAATTCGGAATGAATACGAATCGGCTGCATGTGTGCAAACAAGCTAACTCCAATTTTGTAAACATTTTCTGGAAACATTGTTTATCTTGAAAAGTTTGCTACTGAAGTCACAACAGCGAATTTAACTTCTCTGTTTTACCTAAAGGTCGACAAGCAAACTTTTTAAATAATTGACTTGATTTTTGCATCAAAGTTGATGTAGTCAGCTTTAGGTATTATATCTCATCGATTTGACAGCAAGGGTTAAAGACCTAACTTGTCAGTTATATCCAATTAGTATAATAAAAATTAAAATGTGCTGGACAATCACTTCAATTATCTGATATCAAAAAAAGGGAATTCCTTGTACTATGAGTACTAGAGCAATGAAGTTATGGTGGCACTAACTCGGAATGTATAGAACTAATTTAGGTAAATTTATTTCTATCGAATCGAACGCACGGCCAGGGAAACCGATAAACGTAAACAAAAGAAATCTAATTTATTTGTTCAAAGTTAGAAAATATACTTTCGCTTTAGTTCTAGAGAGTTTGTTGCTGAGTCGGACCAAAATTTGCGGATTAGAGGCGATGCTCTAAAAAATAATAATGATTAAAGCGAAAGTCTTAAGATGTTAAGTAGATTACTTAATCATAATATTCTTACCCAGAGACAACGCCCCCGCCAGTTCCAACATGGTCGCAGAACTTCTCCTCGATATGCTGGAACATGAAGGGATGGTTGCAGAGCTTGCGCAGTTGTACGATAGTGTTCATCAAAGCCTTCGCGCCGCCCTTTCCTTTGTTTCCTTTCTCCGATCCGTCAGTTAGCAGTACGCCTTTCGATTGCATGTGTCTACAAGATAAAGCAGATATGAAGTGTATCCCATTACACCATAAACATGAGCTCCGTCACAGCGTAATAAAAAGAGGAATTATTTTTGTTATACAGTCAAGAGCACATCCAGCTATACAATTTTTGTTCGAATATCGCCTCCAGTGCAACGGAACAAGATCTGTCAATATGTAGCTTGATGTGTTGCAGTCAGTACTTTGTCATTCGATCTCTCGTAAAATCAAAAGAAAAAAGTCAGTCACAAATCATATTTACGTAATTCATAGGAAATGAAACTATTTTTCCGGATTTAAATCGCGTGTATTAGTTTTTTCAAACAAACCGACGTTTCGGGTCCTTTACAGGTTCCATGGTCATGGTTGTAAGGTTGTACAGTCTTCAACCAGTTATGTCTAATATTAATGCAAACCACCCTATTTTTTCACTATAGTTACAATAGTTAATAATTAAATACCCTATTTTTTATTTTATAAAGAAAACATTTCAATTTACGCTACATTAAGTTTTACAAATTATTTTATTGAATGAAATTTTATTAAGTTCAATTTATTATTAATTAATAATAGAAATTAGAATAAACTAAAACATATAATTAGTACTGGAGTCTTATGTCTGTTTGGGATTTTTCATCAGAGGAAATACTGGATCCCAAACTGGTGGTACGGAGAAACCATCTTCTCTGTTGAAATTAGGATGTTTTTTAATTTCAATGGCCTCTCGCAGCATCCTGGGTAGATAACGGACTTCTTTTGCAAGGACCTGGGGTTTGTCAAACTTATATGTAGGTTTATCCACGACATGCTCCGGAAAAATAGTTTCCTATGTTTAACAATCGCGAAAACCTAAGAACTCGTTACATAATTCAATTTAGACAAGTATTGTATGACTTACTTGTAAAGCACTCGTTGCAACCCACTCATATCGCACTTGATGATGTATTCCACCTTGTCAGGCAGTTGGCTCTCCACCTCCTTCTTGAGTCGCCGCAGTAGGAACGGTCGCAGCACTTTGTGAAGACGACGGATGATCAGAATAGTTTCTTCCTCGTTTAGCTCCACCTGAGATAAGTTAATTGGATTGAAGGTTTGGGTGGTGGGTTGTTGTTAATACGTAACACTATAATGGACTCCATGAATCATGATGTCTAGATAACGGTACTTAAATCTCATAGGCCATGAAAAGCTTATAATTTTTTCACTTAAGCTGATATAATATGTGATATTTACGACTAATTATATATTTTTTTTTAAATATTGAACCATAATCGCAAAGAAGAATGAATATAATTGACTTGAATAATCAGCTTCTCAAATATATAAACGTTCAAAAATTTGCAAAAATATTTCGATTATAATCAACGTTATCAATGTAAATATTAGGTCCAAAAAAACAATTGAACTTGCAAACGTTAAGATATATGTCGACATTTTAAACGTTCATTGGATTTTGATGGTGACTATACAAATATTGGTGTTTATACCTTTTCACCCGTAGTGGCGAACGGAGCATTGAACCACTGTTCAAAAGTTGAGCAGCTCTTGAAGATCGAGGGTAGTAGGAAGTTGAGAAGCGCCCACAGTTCAGGCAGCTTGTTCTGCAGTGGCGTACCGGTGAGAAGCAGGCGGTGTGGCGCTATGTAGTGGGTGTTCAGCACTTGCGTCAGTTTGCAGTGGTGGTTCTTCATGCGATGACCTTCGTCGATTATCATGTACTTCCAGTGCACCTGGATGTTTTTCGTTTATGAAATTGTTTCACTTTGTTCGTAGGCCGTTTACAACACTGTCATTATGTTTTTGGCTTTTGCAATCACTAGGGCAAGATCGAGGTCTATCGAATTAACATCCTAATGTACAGTACGAACGTACTTATGCAGTACGGACAATAGACGTTTCCCTTTACTAGTAAATGGCGTAGGCCGCAAATTCGTACCTGCTTGACGTTCAAGGTATGCATCAAGAGTGGGCTGTCATTTGCAGCGACCTCCATTTCTATTGTTTCGAGTAAAGCAGATACACAGATTGTTTTATTTTGTTTGAAAACATTGTAACAACTTCTACTATATCTTTCAGACTTTTGTGATTGATAACAACTGTTCATTTTAGTATCAATTTGTAAAGACAGTAAAATGTTGAGGTCAAATAGTTTTTACAGATCAAATAAGTAGTTAATGTGGTTGAATAATTTTGGTTATAGTTATATATATATAAGAATGATAATTTAATAACCATTTGCTTGTTTAATTTGTGAATGACGTTCGAAATGGATTTCGAATCATCATTATCATCAATAAGTCATATCGTGTGGTCAGTTCTTACAGTAAACAAGTTATATCTAAAAAAGCGTTTTCTTTTATATGTACGTCAATATCTTCCCATTCCATATTTATAATCACACGCAACCTCTTTCAATTGCAAAATTTTGACATACTGAATAAAACACGACTTGTATACTCGCGTCGAAATGCGACAACGCTCCAATGTTCAAACGCTTTATCGAACACGCCTTCGCGGATTTAAACATAATAAGTGAACCAGCGTGCATGTTTACTACTGTGCCCCGGGCTTCTATTGAACAGGACGCTCAAATATATACTGTGAACGCTGTTACCAAGACACTTCAATAGAAGTCAGTATGTTCAGTGGCGCAGCGTATACGCTCTAAATGACGCTCCGCTGTTCGCGCCGCCGTTCCGAATTTGCGACCTTATAATAAGGCGATTCAAAGTAAAAAGTCTAGCATGCTATCGACGGTACATGCTTTAAATAACAACCGTTACTAATATTACGATCTCACCTTGGCAAGAACACCCTTGTCCTTGATAACGTATTCGTACGTGGTGAGCAGCACGTTGAACTTGGTAGAACGCATCTGTGCTTGCACGAGTCGACGCGACGCAGGAGATCCCTTGTACGACACCACAGACACTGTAGGTGCCCACTTTTCGAACTCTAATACCCAGTTCGATAGAGTGCTGAGGAATGTTACAAGTGTTAATGGTCATAGCCCATGGGATATTTTACACAACTCGATGTCAACATGCGTCTAAAGCGGATTGCAAAGGGTGTTACATAGTTGAAATTTTAAGGAAATTCTTTAGTGACGTTAACAGATTACAATTTAAATAACCTCCTAAAGCCGAGCAAACTACAATGGGGGGCGCTAAATGCCCAATGTATATACATTGAGTCTATAAATTCGCAACGACGGCGGTGTGTGTTGTGTATCCAACACAAGACACATATTTGAGCGCAATGTATGCGCAAACCTTTAACGCCCCGGTGAACGCACCACGTCATGTGCAGTATATAGCGCGAAATTTTAATGCAAAATTTTCATTATAATGTTACACACATGATCATAGGAATAATGTTATCTGGGTCTGAATCACTACACATACACACATCAAAAAAAGTTTGCGATCACTTCGAAAAACTGAAATCTTTTTTGTTACTGTTGATTATATTATGATTTTTTCTTCTTTTTAGATTCTTTATTTAAAAATAAATTAGAACATAAAACAATGACCCCGTTCAATTGTTTTTTCATATAAAAAGGCTTTCAGTCCTAGCTTACGCTCATTCAGAAATCTGATTTAGTCAATTATAAGCGATTCAAGATATTTTTCGCGGAAAGTTGTGATTGAAAAAATGCGAAGAGGATTATCAGAGGTTTTACGAGCTAGAATAGTAACTTTGAGGGAAGAAGGATACACCACGAGAATAATAGCACGCAGACTTGCTATATCCCAATCCTGTGTCGTGGCTACGTTGCAGAGGTATCACGGAATGGGGAATTTAGCTGACCGACCCCGCAGCGGTCGCCCAACTGTTTTGACAGCTGCCCAAAAGCGCTATATTAGATTGCTGGCAGCCCGTGATCCAAAATCAACGCCACTAAAATAAAAGCAGAAGTCAGGGCCGCCTCTGGGCTTGAAGTTAGCACGCAGACCGTTCGCAATTGCTTGCACCAGGCTGGATTACGAGCACGGAGGTCTTGGCGAGCTCCGCTCAATTCCCGGCAACGTCAACTACGAAGATTGCAGTGGGCTAGACTTCGGCAAAATGAAGAAGGTGAGGACGAAAACATTTGGCAAAACTGTCTCTTCGTTGACGAATCCCGAATCAGCACTCATCCAGATAACCGACGTGTCCGTGTCTGGAGAAGACCAGGCGACCGTGAAAGACAAAGAACTGCCACTGGAACAGTTCAGCAAGGCGGAAAATCGGTGTCCTTTTGGTGTGGCATTATGATTGGAGCTAGAACGCCTTTGATCCCGTATCGGGGCTTCATGACAGCAGACATGTACAAAGCAGTTGCTATTGATGATATCGTCAGACCATTCCGAGTAAACCATAGGCACCAATTTGTACTGGTCGATGATAATGCGCCCGCACATCGAGCTCAACGAGTCAATGCTGCTCTTCCAGAATACGATATCACACGATTAGTCTGGCCTGCCGGCTCGCCCGACTTAAACCCAATAGAGCACGCGTGGGATGCTCTTAAACGAGCAGTATGGAACCGTGAGCCACGTCCCCAGACAGTTCCAGAGCTCAGGGAAGCCGCTATTGAAGAATGGGATAGGTTACCCCAGGAAATGCTGGATAACTTGATCCTCAGCATGCCCAGGAGGATCTTCGCATGTATTCGAGCCAGGGGAGGAGTTATTTTATATTAAATTCACACCTTTTAATAATAAATTGTTGTTTAAGTTTAATTAAACAGTCTTTTTCTTTCTATGAAATTTCTATCACTATTACATTATGATTAATGGCTCAATTTTTTAAAATAAATAATAAAAAATAGTTTTATATTTTAATTTCAAACAGGGTATTCCTATTTAAAGAAAGCATACAACATAGATTTTTTCTTGATAAAGTTAAATTTAAAGAATTATAGGAGCTTATGCTATTGATCGCAAACTTTTTTTGATGTGTGTATATATGTACACACGCCAGCACATCAAGCTACACATTAACGTCTCTTGTTACGTTGCACTGGAGGCGGTTTTCGAATAAAAATGTGTAGTCTAATGTGCCTTTGTCCGTACATTGTGACATGCACGGAGCTTTACGAGGTTAAACAATAATTTATTTAATTAATTAAATCATAATATATTTATAATATTTATAAATATAACATGTTCAATTATTTTATTCTAATGAATTAAAATTGGAGAATCGAATTTATTTATTTAAATTTCTTTTTCAGTCAATAAGCTGGCTTACTTACAATGCTGGCTCCACAAGCTAGCAATGAATTGACAAAATTTCGAATCTAGCTCTACACGCTTTGGTTAAAGGTAACCTTACAAGAAAGGTTTGCAGTCTAATTTAATAACCTGTATATTTGTTTAAAAGTTACTTTGTCTTAGAGGAAAAATGCGTTTAGAAACAAAATAAAAATTTCAATAGCTACAAAATATTCTTATTATTATTCGGATAAATACGATGTTAATATAATAATAATACTATACCTGAGTGGTACAATTATAAGGAAAGGTCCATTGACTTTCTTCTTTTCCATGAGATAGGTGACCAATGCAATGGTTTGGATAGTTTTGCCTAGACCCATCTCGTCGGCCAGAATGCCGTTCAGGTTGTTGTTAAACAACGACACCAGCCATTCTAGGCCCTGGGGTAAAACAGTAAGAAACCAATCAGTGTCAGTCAGTAGAAGTTAGTTAATTATTGATGTATTAAGTTGCAGCAGAAACTATTATAATGGATTGATAATGATAGTATAGTATTGTATTGCAATTATATGAAGAATAGACACTAAACACTATACGATACTTATAATTATTAATACAAAGAATTCTTTCGAACCGGCAGGATTACAACCGACGTCTTCAAGCAAACCGTGCCAGACGCTATGCCAACTAAGCCACGGAACGAACCAGCGGACCTCACGAATTTTCCTATGTACTTGTTATCGGATCTTTGTATCTGGTTTTTAACGACTTTTTGGCGGTAGCACCATCTATGAGAAATTTATGATTTACTAGAAGACGTCGGTTCGAATCCGGCCGGGTCGAAGGATTTTTTCTATTAATTTTGTATTAATAATTATAATAAACTAGTGGAGTAATTTCACAAAAAGTAATTGAATATCATGGTAGTGAAACATCCTAACTTGACTATATGATAGATTATAGATAGATTATATTATTAATCAGTACAGAGTACTAAAAAAACCGACCTCAAAAGTACGTGGAATTACATATAATTACCAAGTTTTATTGAAATTGGTTACCGGAAAGTGCGCAAACTCATATTCATCCCCTATATCGCCACTATATGGGACTTAACACAGGAGATAATAAAAATCGGTTCTCACTACTCAAAGTATATTGAGAGAGAAAAACGCCTTGAACTGGATAATAGCAAAATCAACCATTAAAACAATTGCTCCTTACAATAAAATTTAGGCGCTATTTATAAAAATGAATCTTAAATGCGTGAACAGCCACCGTTAAAAGAGTGCATGATTTTCTTCAAAATTTAATGGGACCACTATGGAGGTACCCTCTTTCCAACAAAAAAGAATCATGAAAATCGGATCGTTCACAAATACCGGAGTTATCGCGTAACATACAAACAAAAAAAAACATACAGTCGAATTGACAACATCCTCCTTTTTTAAAGTCGGTTAAATATTGTATATATACGTGTTCTTTTATTTATTTTCATGATGATGATGTTTTTACTACTGTGATATATATATTATTTTGTGAAAATTCTCCTCTAATTTGTTGTTATTATTTATCTGAACTCGGCGTCTTTGTCTTAGTGTGGCTACAGTAAGAAATTTCTAAGTTTATCTCCGGTGCCGACACGACAAAATATAGCCATTTAAACCATCATACAAATAAATATCTTCAGCAAGCACACAGAAAAATTCGTAAGATCTCATGAATCGATCTGTAGCTCAGTTAGTAAGAGAGGTAGCCGAGGTGAGGCAACAGCCACTGGTTCAATCGGATCTCAGGATATTTTTTTCCATGTTTGTTCGATAGTCTCAGCTAGTTTCAACAATTATCACCGCTCCGACTTAGGAATTGCATTTGCTAAGAGATGATCAGCCCAAAATCAACACTATCAGTTATTTTAAAATGCGGTTATGATTTATATATCAATTTTTGCTTGAAAACGTTTGAAAACACATCACATATTCATTGAGAACAAAGTAGGTTTTGTCAAATGTCAAATTCTTTGTATCAATAAAAATATATTCATTTTTCCGTTTTTTTTTAAATTTGTGTTTCTGGTGGCAAGCGACACACCTATCCATAACAGTTGCAGTGCCGCTCAGAGCTCTAAATAGCAAAGATCTGACAGGCACTGCCACTGTGCCCGTCACCCTGAGACATACATTGAAAAGTCCTATGTGCCTATTTTATTTTTACGAAATGTCGGTTTACCTTAATCTGATATTCTTTGAGATTTCCGTTCACCAAGATACTGGCTTGTTCAGTGACAGACTCGTGGACCGTGTGAGCAATGCTGCAATAAAAGAAAATTATTACAACGCGTTTGTTATAGGTAACAATTACAACTACTCATTTATGATATGACCAGTTAACAGTGACAGTGTGCTATGTCTTTAGAAAAACATAAGATCCAATATGGACATAAATCGTTAAAGGATTACCTGAGTCACAAGATTATAGTTATGGATTAATTTTTATTCTGTATATACACAGTTTAACAAATTACATGAGGGCTCTATTAGTATTTTAAAAACTTTTTTTATTGACAACTTGAACTACAAGTGAGTATCTAGTCTCTAATTCAAGGTGCGAAAGTAATTAAACAGTCATTAATAAAGAGTTGTATGTAACTTCGGAATAATTTAAAAAATATGTATAATAATATTTGCAAGACTTATTAATGTTTACCTGTAATATGTCTGTTCTTCAGTCTTGTATTCGTCATCTTCGACCTTGGCTTTCTTGATCATGTCACGCGCCTTCTCTTCGTCTGTCTTCTCTCTGTCGTCTTTTTCTTTGTTTTTCTCGCGACGCTCTCTCTTTTCTGTTCATATATAACAAGGCCGCTCATACACGTAATACAATATGATATGTATTGGTGTTTACGACAAGCTAACGCAAACGCGCGACTGAATCGAAACAAACGCGCGATTGTATCGCCACTGCAGCCGCGCGTTTGCATCGATGCAATCGCGCTTTTCTATCGATGCAGTCGCGCGTTTGCATCGATGCAAAGATGATGCATGATGATCCTATAAATCGCAAACGTAGCGATGCAAACGCGCGTTTGTATCGCTGCATAAAGTCGCCGTGTGTAAATTCACGTTTAAGAATATTTGTTTGCAGTGTTTATTGAGAGTATATAGAAAAAATTGAACATTTGGAGAATACTAGTTCCGACATATTTTATTGTTCCTATTTTTATTCTCGCTGTGTATTTAATGGACAATAAGCCTATGGTAAGTCTTTTAATGGTTTGTTGGGACGCACTAAAAAATTTACGTTATCATTGTATATCTGTGACAATCTGAGTCTCTCTGTGAAAAACTAGAACATAGCCATAGAAAGAAAATATTATCTATGATCCAAGGGAAATTTCATCGATAGTTCTATCTAGTTTCAACAATTATCACCGCTCCGACATAGGAATTGCATTTACTACGAATTGAACACTATCAGTGATATTAAAATGCGGTTATGATTTATAACAATGTTTGCTTGAAAACGCATCACGTAGATTTTGTCAAATGTCAAATTGTATTTCATACAATTAGTGCTCAGATAATTTAGAACTGACTAAATCACAGGGTTTCGCAGTATCTTCTTCCACACCCTACTGGGGAAGACGCCAATGGTCAAAGATTATGGAAGGGTTGAGCTTCTTACACTTAAAAATTAACTGCAGCCATAGCAAAACGTACCGTCATCATCTTGGCTGTCGTCTCCGGAGTCCTCTGAATCGGAGAGAACTTCCCAGCCTGGGTGAGTTTCCATCCAATCCTTCAGCTGAGACAACAATGGCGCCTCATCGCCTTTTAGCATCTATATAACAAAACAAACGGTATGTCTGTCTAATTGTAAATAATGTGCCAGACAACTACACCAATTGCCTGGTCTCAAACTAGGGAATTCCCTGTACTATGAGTACCAGAGCAACGGAATTCATTCCGGGGCACTAGTTGGAACACCCAGACCAGAACCAATTTAGGAAAGGTTATTTCCCAAATTGGTCCTACTGGGAATCGCATCCGGGACCGCCGCAGTGCAAACCTTTGGGCCAACGAGGTCGTCAAAATACTATACAACAACAAAAATTACGAGATCGTCGTTCGCGAGGTCATGACGACCTCTGTGACCTAGCTGTTAACAATATAGGCGCTAGATGAGCAGAGGGCCGGCTCAGAACCTTAAGATAACTCAGTTGTCGATCGATTTATTTTTATTCACAACACCCGAATGAAACGTCAAACTGTAGTTTTCGAAACCGAATCGAAATGACGGCACACCCGTATTTTAAATAGTCTGGATTTTGTTCAATTTTATTAATTTATTTTAATTCAAGACTAATGCATTCCTATATTTTAGGCCTTATTTTAAGTCTTCAAAATGTGCATAAAAGGATTTGAATTTTTCTTATAATCTATTTCACCGACTAATTCCGTAAACGGTGTTGGATAACAATACCGTATCCAAAACGAACGTTTAACTCGGAATGTTCTGAATAACTCGGAAAGCGCCCTTCGATTCGAGAACAATTCGGTTAAAATATATACAGGGTGTAACAGCAAGGTGTAGTCATATTTGAAGGTCGGATTCAGTTAATGGTATGAAACTATTTAGCAAAGTTGTTTTAGTACAAACTACGTTATTTATGGAAATTTCGCCATGAACAGTTTCGATCAGCTGATGTCATTTAACGAAAATAAATAGTCACATCACATCTCTATTGAGTATCATAATACAACCAAATTACGTAACTTGAAAAAATTGTGAAATTCAGGCATGTTATTGTAAATGATAAAGTACTTAATGCCATATTCTTATTACTATGTTATAATTTACTAAATTTATTATTATTTTATTCATGTAATATGCGTGTGAACATTTAATGAAAAATAAATATTATCGATTACTTTGCCAAAATACACTAGTTCATAATAAAACTATTATTTAAAACTTAGTACATAATAACGTAATATGGTTTCGTTAACTTCATATCTTCAAACATACAAAATACACAAATTTCCATTTAATATCCATTAATAAAACTAATGTCCTCTAAAAAACACATATTTAAAGTTATCTCTGTTTCTTTTTACCATACGCATTCATCTATTGTATTTTAATGAATGAAATTTGTCTCTTTCTATCCGTCGGTACTGTTCTAACGCATGGCGGCTTTATAGCGAATCAGTCGGTATGTTTCTTCTAACGCATGACGCAATATGACGCAATTATCCGACTAATACTTCGCACCCTTACAATGAAAGCGACTCAAATCAAAAAATTAAAAAATGAGTTTATACCGTAAAACCATCTTAAAAAAATATTTTGTTACATTAGTCACACTGTGGTGAAGATGAAATTGTGCAATTAAAGCTCGAATAGCACTGATTCATAAAGGTCCCTTTCATTTTGTTCTTTCAGTTTAAAAATTCTACTCCCGCGTTGAAATATTAACGCCGCATTTATTGTTGAATCTGCATTTGCAAAGACAACACGCTGCCACTGACGGATTAGCATTTGAGCCATTTTCGTTCCGAAAATCATATTCAAAAATCACTAGTAGCAGTAGAGCTCCTTGTGAGTTCGTCCAGGGTAGTACTGCCACATTACCGTGTTACAGTTTTGAAGGGTAAGGGTGCTGGTGAAATTACAGGCACATGGGACTTGTCAACTATGTCTCAGAGAGATGGACGCCGTAGCAGTAGCCTTCGAGCGGCAGTGCTACTGTTATGGACAGGCGTGACGCTTTCCACCGGGTACACGACTTGTACGACCCGTCGCTTAATATTTAAAAAAAAAAAATTTTTTAGTAACTTACTTTTTAAAGGGACTTACTTTTTTGTTTCGTGGACTTTCTTCTTTTTTAATTGTGAAACAGGGACCACAAAACAATATCAAGGGTTATGACATCTTGCTTAGCTGATGAACATTAAAAAGACTTAATTCTTAATACGTTAAATGATAACAAAAAATCGTTAAAAAAAAGACCTATTGGCGACTAGTTTTTGTAAATTATGTTTTTAAATTGTTGAACATTAAAATGATCAGAAACAATTTTCAGTTGTAAAGTTCCATTTTTCCTCATTATTTTCAAAGACTAATAAGGCCATCACCTTTAGTACTTCAAGAGTAGGTAATAAATAAAATAATATGAAAATATGAAAAAACTTGAAATCTTATTTTCTTTTTTATTCCCAAAAAGTTGAAATTTTGTATTGGGACACTTTCATCGTAAAGGTGCAACCTGAAGGTCGGTAAACGTCAAGAAATTAGTTTTGATCGTTGACCACGAATTAATTATTGTAATTTTAATTTAATTTAATTTTTTTTTTATGATTGATTTAGTGTCTGTTTAAGTATATCTAAATGTTTTAAAATGAATGTTGAGCACAGTAATAATTGGGCACAGATATGCCTGTTGTATTAATTTTTAAGTGTTTTTATTTTCCTCACTTTCTGTATCTGATGTCTGTACATTGTGCCATAAATAAAAAATAAAAAATAAAAATAAAATAAATTTTCATCACTTGCTTGGAAATGAAAATATCGTGAGAAAACTTGGATTTCGGAGATAATTGCCGAAATCTTCAAAGATGCGAGAATGTCAAGTTTCCAACCAGTACTTACTATGCAAGTGCAGTGGACTAAACCTTGTGCAAAAAATAGTACTTTACTAACTTACATACGTCTATTGCTGAGCGCACGTTTCTAACAACAGGCTTACGCTTAATTTGACTTATCTACACACGACAACTTTCTGGGTATGGGTTTATTACATGGTGAAATTGAAATAATTAATATCCGTTGAACCTATTAAGGTTCTTACTTCCTAATAATATCTACTCATCTAAAGAAATATTTTAGAATAGTTTAAATTAGCAATAGTGTAAAACCATAAAAAATCTTACCTAAATAAACAAAGTATCAAGATTAGTCGCCTTGCGTACGCGATACGTAATCGTAGCGAAGTCGCAAGCCTTTGGCGGCAACTTTGGTGGCAAAAATATCACCTTTGATTTTCGCCGCCAGCATTTGATTTTATACATGGTGATGTGGATTAGTGGTTAATGTTAGACTCGTTTCGGAGGTCGTGGATTCGATTCTCATAGTTGACTGGCTCTATGGGGTAGTTGTTAGAGTGTTAGGTTTTCTTTGCGGATGTCGTAGATTTGATTCCCATAGTCGACTGCCTCCATAGTCTAGTGGTTAGAGCGTTAGGCTTTCTTTTCGGAAGTCGTGGATTTGATTCCCATAGTCGACTGCCTCTATGGTGTAGTGGTTAGAGTGTTAGGCTTTCGTTTCGGCGGTTGTGGATTTGATTCCCATAGTCGACTGCCTCCATGGTGTAGTGGTTAGTGTTAGGCTTTGTTTTCGGAGGTCGTGGATTTGATTCCTATAGTCGACTGCCTCCATGGTGTAGTGGTTAGAGTGTTAGGCTTTCGTTTCGGAGGTCGTGGATTTGATTCCTATAGTCGACTGCCTCCATGGTGTAGTGGTTAGTGTGTTAGGCTTTCGTTTCGGACGTCGTGAGTTTCCGATGGGTGACTGCCTCCTTAGTGCAGTATATCCGTAATCACTCAGTCAGTTCTTGCATTATGTGGAAGTGGTACGGGTGATGGTCAGAGCTTGTTTACAAACAAAGGCGTATGCAGTGCAACGTTGAAGGTCGTAGACGTAGGATATAGGTATTCGTTTAATGTGTATGTAATGATGTAATTTGTATCAGGAGAAGGGTCTTATTTCAAAAGGATGGTAATAATTTTAATTTCATCCTGTAGGTACATTATGAAAACGTTACCCTATATTCCAAAATTTGCGTTTCAGTCGGCGTCCTTTGATGTGCCGCCGCTGAGGCAGAGGTGCTATTTTTTAATTTTTTGTAACAGTCTGTAATTGCCGTTTGCGTTGTGAGGACTAAATAGGTGTCATCGTTTTGTTTGTGTCTTGTTTTTGTGTTTATTTAAACTATGTCACGCTTAAGCAATAGTGATTACTAAGAGATGATGTTGTGCGTAGGCGCAGCCGATGGGAGCTTGCGCCAGCCTCGCCAAATTTATTGGGCAAAGTTTATTGATGGCGTCCCAGAAAATCGACGTCGACCATTTTCCTGCTGTGGAATGCTTCAGGAAGATGGTTATGAGACTTCATAATAGTGGATCGTTCCGTGGTTCCAGTTCTGAAGGCCGGCCGAGTTCACGAGACCCAGAATTCGAGGCAGATGTTTTGGAACATTTTCTCGGCAATTCAAAGACAAGTACTCGTCGTGCTGCGGCAGCCTTTGGTGGTGTGAACCATATGAGTGTGTGGCGTGTGCTACGGGATGATGGCCAGCACCCATACCATTTTCAAAGAACGCAGGAGCTGTTACAAGCGGACTATGATCTACGTTTGGCATTTTGCCGCTGGTACCGCGACCAGGTTGGGAGGTCTCCCGACTTCGCTTCGTCGGTACTGTGGACAGACGAGGCGTCATTTACGCGTGCGGGCATTATCAATATGCATAATGAACATTTTTGGACTCATTTGAATCCCCGCGTATCAAGGGAATCAAATTTTCAACACCAGTGGCGGATTAACGTGTGGGCTGGTATAATAGGTTGTGCCGTCATCGGTCCAGTGTTTTTGCCGGCAAGTCTGAATGGGGCCAATTATTTAAGATTCCTAACAGAAGACTTGGGTGACGTTCTGATGGCCCTGCCAGTGACACAATACGTGAGACTCGTGATGGAACACGGGATGACTTTCTAGCACGATGGAGCACCCGCACATTTTGCTCGAAATGTACGTTCCCATCTGAACGACCGTCTCCCGCAGTGGATTGGGCGGGGAGGTCCTGTACCCTGGCCAGCGTGGTCCCCAGACTTGACACCGCTCGATTTTTTTTGTGGGGTCATATAAAAATATTGTTTATGCGAGGTCCTGTGAAAGCGCAGAAGAAATGAGGCAGCGGATCGAAATGGCGTTTAGTCAAATCACTCGGCAGATGCTTCAAAGAGTAGAGCAGTCTCTGTACCGACGCACGGAAATATGCATATTGCATGGAGGTCGGCATTTTGAACCTTACCTGTAAATGTGTGAAATGTGCCAGCAGTGCGTGTAGTGATTGTACTTATTATTCAAAATTATCGTAAACAAGTCAATATTTCGTACATTGTACAACAGTGAATTACAATTCGTAGGAAATTCATTAAAACGTGTATGAATTGCACAGTAGGTAAGTACCAATTAAAAAAGTATCCACTATTGTAAAATTGTCGTAAATAAATGTATTAATACAAAATTATGTAGAATGTGTATACGATGAAGGCGTGCGTAACTACGGGCTTAATAAGTAAATAAATATCCTTTAAATTGTATGTAAATAAGTACGTACCTAGGTATGGTATAAAATAATATTGTTAGAAATAATTCGATTTTTCTAGGTATTTAAAGATTTTGTTACTTAATATTAACGTGTTATCAACATATTCAAATCATGTTTTTACAGTGGCATTTCAATTGTAGTCAGCTGTTCTTTCGCCCCGCTTGCGGCCGCCCAGGTTTCATTAATGAATTTGTGAAGTCGTAGTAACGTCACTAGCAATAGAGTTGTGACGCAGTGGTTGTTTCGGACAATCACTATTTATACAAACATAATTAAAGTTATATCAACATTAAAAGTCACTTATTTTTATTTGATATTTTGCACAGAGGGTCTAGATCAAGTATAGGTTTGGCTCCTTTAATATGACTACACCTTGCGGTTACACCCTGTATATAATATAAGAGTTCTGTATCGGGATCTAGGTTCGATTTCCAGTAGGGAACAAATTTTCTAAATTGTCTTTGAGTGTTCTGGATAAGTGCTCTGGACTAAAATTAATTATATTTAATACTCGTAGTACAGTTCCGTTTATTACCAGGCTATTAGTGGGGTATCGAAAAATGTTATTTAGCACAGCTTTTTACAATCCAGGAACAAAAAAGTTATAAAAAAAAATCGTTATAACCCTTACTATATAGAATACCAAAGACGTACTTATAATTTATAGACAAGTAACAGTACGAGAACTCACTTCGCCAGTCTTGGGGTCCATGACACTGACGCGCTGATCTGATGTCTGCGAGCTATCGTCCAGTGCATCGATTTCGCCGCCTTCTAGTAACTTCCTCTTCCTCGATTTCTGTGTAATATATCACATGCAAAATGTATAACACACAGCAATCACATTCGATTGCATTAAAGTCTAAACTTAAGTTATATTATAATCACTTTATCTTGAAATAAGTAAGTATTTACCTAATTCGGGTTTTATGTTCAAGAAGAAAAGAGTGATGAAAAAATTATTATTATTGTTACATTTAAATCTAAGCCACCCAAAGCGTATCAATGTGAAAAGGGCCTTATACAAGCAATTATAAATAGGGAAAATTGGGGTTATAATTGGCTAAGTTAGTATGTAGATTATTTACCCGCTTTCTGCGCTCCTCCTCCTGCTGTTTCTTGCGCTGCTCCTGTTTGTGCTGCTTGACCATCTCTGTGAGACTAGCGATGTATTCGTCTGTCTGCGACAGCAGGAACGCCAGGCGCTTGTCTTTCTTCTGATCGATCAGTTTGCGGTAACCCTCTTCGTCTTCGGCCATAAGACTGAATAAGAAATAATATTGATTCAATGTAATAGAAAGAGATGATAGAATCAATTTATTTAGTAATTTACGTGTGTATATTGAAAATTATATAAATACTAAACATGTCAGTGTATATTTATTACATTTTAACGACCTCCGTGATTGAGTAGCTTGCACACCGGTTTTCATGGTGTCGCCATATCTGAGGTCACGGGTTAGATCCCCAGCCGGGTCAGTGTAGAAAAACTCAACTTTTCTGTATTGCCTCGGGTGTGGGTGTTCGTGGTACCGTCGTTTTTTCAGATTTCCATAACACAAGTGCTTTAGTTACTTACTTTGAGATCAGACCAATGTATGTGAAGTTGTCTAACATTTATAGTAGAAAACTCCACGAAAACTGACGATCGGAAGATGTTAGTAATGCGGTGGCGGGCAATTTACGTACGTTTCGAATAAATCCGTCTATCGTTAGCTCGAGACTTTCATTGACGTTCCAAAAACTAAAAGAATTATTTGTACAAGGAGTTTCACTTAACAACTCTATGTCGCTCCTTGTAGCTATATCTATACATGTGTCTATATATATGGATCACCTTGTTCCGACCATTGGTAATTATAGAAAAGCTGTATAGGCATACCGTCGCATACGTTCCTTCTCTATGCGTTCTTGTTCCTTCTTCTGCTCTCGCTCTGCATTGGCGTGGTAGTTCATGACGGCCTTGTTGATGCGCGCCGTACGCGCCACGTTGTTGCGGTGGTACTCTTTGAAATCCCTTGCTGGAAATTCATCATGTCAATTAACAATTCGTCAATACGAATACATCAATGATTTATGGTACTTTAGAGAGTATTTTTGATTCGATCCAATGACTGTAACTGGTGAATCATGTGCAGCGCCCAAAGGGGCCAACATTTTGAAAGTAATGTAGGCTTTCGTAGATCTATTATTTTTCTGTTGTGATAAATTTTATGAAATAAAAAATAATATATTCTAAGTTGTGTTTTTAAATAGTTCATCTCTTGTGGTCGTATAAGACGCATTATCAAAATTACGAAGATACGTAATTGCATTACCGTGTTGCAAAACAGTTTGCAAAAACTCCTGGTGCTTCTGGCGACGTTTCCTTTCTGCTTCGAGTTTCTGTTGTTTCTCCAACTTCTCAGTGGCGCGCGCTTCGCGTAAACCTTGCCGCTTGGTGCGTTTGTAAGCTTTGATATTCACCGCCGTCTCTAAAGTGGTGTCGCGACGCACTTGACCTAGAATCTACACACAAAAATAAATGCTTGAGAAAACTTACTTACAATGCTATTATAATAATATTGTGAAGAAAATTGGAACAGGCGGAGGAAATTTGATGCAGATATGACAAGCGCCCGATGGCAACTAACCGGGCAACGGGCAGCTCGGCGCGTCGTTAAACCGTTGGACAATTTTCAAGTTTTGGAATAAATATGAATTTAATAACTATAGGGCTTCAGTTGAAAACAAAACTTTAGCAGGTTCTCTGTAGTACTGAAAGTGAAATATCTCCATATAAAAATGATGTGCAACGTTAGATATTTTATTCTTAAATAATTCATTTTAGACTTTTGTTTTAACCTGTTTTCGAAATTTTATATGACCGGATGAAGCATATCCTATCGTTTAACAAATTAGCACACTCTTTAGACAATATCCTTAGGTGTAACGTAAGTAATGTTGTAAGACTGTTATATAATAGTAAATACCTAAACCATTGAATCTAGCAAAACAGATTTTCCCTTTCTCCTCCGTTGACTCGCCTTAAGCAAGTTTTTGACTATTTTGAACTTTTTAAATAGACAAACAAGCATAAAAACAAATAAAATAATCTTGCCATGAAAACTGTAACTCATGATTGCAGAGAACAGCACCTAAGTGCCAATCATAGTATAAGAAACTGGTATCTTTCAGCAGCAAACACATATTACGTGCACTGAAAATGCGGACACTTTTACCATAGTATAGTAAGACAAGTATGGTAAGTCCATACAAATATGTGTGCGTGCCCGCTGCAACCGTGTACGGACGCACACGTTCGCGATGATAATCTCGCGATGCATTCGCGTTGCATAGCGCTGGTTGTTCCAGGCGCCTTTCATTATTATGCGTATGTGTGCATCCATACACGGCGCGCGGCGGGCGCGCACACAAACCATTCGCGCTGTATGCATATCTGCTGTATGTATATCTAGATAGACGCCGCAAGTGTGCGTACTTCGCGAGCCCCAAGTATGTGAAATTCACTTACTTGCCGCGCTGCTATATTTCGGAACGCGCTCGACCGTTATCGTAGATAAACACCAGTCGAAAACGCGAAAAATGCATAATTGTGCCATTATAAACTGCAAAAGCACCATAACTGTGGGTAAACAGGGACGTTTCCTTCCACGGGCAAGTGATTTTGTAATCAGAATATACACAATTTATTTTAAAAACAATTGTTTTGTTTTGTATGAATTTCGAGAAAACAAATATGCAACCGAGTGTATGCCTCATGTTAGTAATACATTGCGGCTTTTACTTGGTGCGATATATTTATTTGTGTTCCTTTGTTAATACGCCATGAATATCGAACGAACGCACTTTTGTATAATGCATTCAGTTTCGTGGTACGGCCGGATGTACATTTCTTTGGCCAAATTTAACATTTATAGTGCATTCGCGTTAAGAAAATAGTGACTCATCAGTGCAACTGCCGGGTAAGGGTGAATTCACAGTGGAGTGAAATTTCAAGAAATTTTAAAAATAAATGTAATTAAGTTTAATGGAAACAAATTGTCTTAAAATTACGTAAATCACTAATCACTATCGCTAGATTCTCCAGTTACATTTATTATGAAGGAATTTTGTTCTGCGAGTTCCATGACGTCATCCAAATGCCACATGGTATTTTCTTCGCGTATCACGTTCCAACGATTAGCGTCTATTAACGCTATTGAGTCGTCTAATATTTTTTTAACGTCACTCATTTTGAACGTGGAGTTATTGGCACCAACATAATTTTTTATTTGGGCCCACACTAATTCAATTGGATTGAGTTTGCAATGGTAAGGCGGTAGACGAAGAATTGTAATGCCATTACTTTTAGCAGTCTCATCTATTAAATATTTATCATATTGTGGGGCGATTTCGGCAACTTTCATTAATAATTCCTTTTTTAAATAGCTCATGTCCATGGAACGCCTTTGCTTTGCAGCCAACCTATTATTTGCGGCTTGTTCCACATGGTTGTTGGTATTTTTTCGGCTTTCACCGAATGGTAGGGAGCATTATCCATGATAACCACACTTCCTGGTTCTAATTTAGGCATTATATTAATAAACCAATTAAGGAATCTTTCACCGTCCATCTCTTCATGATAGTCTTTTGTAGACTTAGATTCAAAGAGTAGTAGACCATCTTCCACGAAACCTTTGTCGCTGCCAATGTGCAATACAATCAACCTTTTACCTTTTCCTGTCGGAGCTTTGCGACCGGCTGACAAGCCATCTTGAAATGCTTGCCTTTTATTTTTTACCGTTGTATCCAACCACGCTTTTGTCTTCACATGTCCAGCGTTTACCCACGTTTCGTCAAGATAGTAAATGGTTTTATTAGCCTCTCTGTATTCTTTTATTTGCCTCAGATATTTACGCCTCCATAAAACAATATCTTCCCTTTCGACTAACAATGTTCTACCATCCTGTTTATTGAAATCGAAACCAAGCTCGTGCATTATTTTATGTAATGTGGTACGTTTGAAAACAGGAATATCTTCGTCAGCTTCGCAAAGTGCCATAATTTTGTCCAATGTCGGGTAGTCGTTATTTAAATATATTGAATGAACTTTTCTTCTTATTGCACATTTGTCTAGGTCATCTAATTTATCGACGTTGGATAATCGACCTCTTTTTTTCACCGGTGATTTTAATGTGTTTGTATCCTTTTGTTCTTTAATAATTTTGTAAACGGTATTTTCGGACACACCGCATGCACTTGCTGTTTTTATAACTGTGCACTCCACAGTCGCGTTTAAATCGCAACGTTTAAAGAACTTGTAAACATTATAAATTATGCGTCTTTCTCCGCTGTGGATTATTGATCCACTTTTATTTTTTCGAATAGGTATTCATTTTCAAATTGCTCGACACAACCGTTTTGTTCGAAGGTCTGACTTCAACTGGTCACTGTGAACTCGACTTAATAATTTCAAGCATTCTAATTGGCTAGGGGGCGTGGCCAGGTCGGCGGTCAACGATGAGTCACTATTTTCTTAACGCGAATGCACTATAGTGATGTATACGTTAGGCAAGTTAGGCAACACTGTTCTCGATTCTGATCGATTTTGAAAACAAAGGGGCGAAAATTATTATGACCTTAGCAATATTATAAAAATATTCTATAACTCTTTTGTTATAACGTTTAGTAACGTTTCCTATTTTTTCAGTTTTGAAGTATCTATTATCAGTAGTATCTGTAATTTCGATAATTTTTGCAGCACGTTGCCTCGAATGTCCGAATATAGTAAGCACATAATTACATACATCGCCGGATATGTATAAAGAATGAACAGTGTTCTGTCTTTACAAAAATCTGGAGTTGGCCATTTGTATGAGTTCGTTGCTTTCGAGGACGAAGGTGGTCTAGTTTATCTCACCTAAGATGCAATCTAAATATGCAGAGTAGCAGAGTTAGAAATCCGAGAAATAATAAACAAATCACAAATATTTCACACGGGGCCGTCATTAAGTAAACCTCTTTTGATTAATAATATTTTACCATATTTTGTCAGTAGTAACATTTTTATTTGTATGCCATTCATCCATTTGATCAATTACCAACAGGAAACCATCTAGTAAAATTAATTAAAGCAGTCGCAAGTTCATATATTGACGTGCGTTTTCATTACTTAAGTTAATCGATAAGATCTTCTATTACAAAAAGATGTTATATAATAAGCTCATTTTATTGGAAGGACAATAATTTTAATATTTTAAGTCGATTAAAAATTAAAGTTTTAATTTTTTTTAAGTAATCAACATTTTTTAAAAACAAGTAAAATAAAGGACTTAACTATCTTATTCTTGTATTTTTGTTCTATATTAATATTACAACTACTTGTAATCAACAAATACTTGAACAAAAATTATTCACCGGATTTATTTATCAATTTATCGACCGGATCGAAGGAATTTTTTCTGAGTGTTTTTTCTGAGTGTTCGATCTTTGTATTAATAATTATAACAAACTAGTGGAGTAATTTCACAAAAAATAATTGAATATCAATTCAATAAAAATTTAATTAAAAATTATTCAATTTAGAATCGATTAATTGAATAAAATACGCGTGTTTACACGAATTCCGTTCAATCAATCGATTTAGAGCGAGCGGAAGGAGGTTTCCATCACTAAATAGTTTTTGTGACGTCATAGTGGGTATAAAAATGTGACACGCTTGGTTTTCATACAAATTGCTGTACTTGCGGCGCCTATCTAGATATGTCTGTGGGGGTTACCATACTTATTATACTATGATTTTACGCACAATCATCGTAACTTACCAGTCACGAATAATAAAAAAAGTCTAGAAATAAACACTAAACAGCAAATTAATCTGGAGACAAAAACTATGCGCTGCAATCGACTATTAGCAAAAATAAGGGTGGGACCAATACCCTCTACCACCTCTGCCTCCACATGGCAGTAATACTTTCATCAATAATGCATGTAGTTTCGTAGTCTAGTCCTGGACTTTAAGACTACATTACAGCCCCAATAACCGTGAAACGTGGCGAAAAACCGCCTCGCAGGTGTGTCAACATGACAACAGTGCGAAAAGACACTACAAACAATATAACGGCTCGTGCACCTGGTTTCATACCATTTACACCAGTATATTCCAAGCGGAATGCGTAACTACAACTAAAGCGATTGATCTTATCTCAGACAGCGCTTACTATTTCAGGTCCTGAAGAGCAATAGCACTAACTCAAATCTTGTAAGACAATGCCACATGTTTTCTTGTCTTTGTAGTGCGTTTGGTAAATTATTGTTTGTTGTTGTTAAAATTTTTATTTATTGTTAATATTTTGTAATACATAATTAAATTGCAGAAAATGAGAACCTCCTCCTTTTCCAATTCCATTACAAATAGAAGGTGTAACACATCTGCATTCATTCACACTTTGACAATGACATTTCACGACATTTCTTTGTTTACATTTTGGACATCTGATTACGGTTCATACCATAACTGAATGACTCCAAAACTATCCACAGCCGGTGTTTGCACCTATGCAGTTTTAATCAGAATATACAAATATAAGCCACTTTGACTGATAATGGCTTTCTCAAACATTAAGTCTCAACCAAAGAATCACAAACATACCTCAGCACGTAGTTGTTTTTGGAAATTGAGTACACGCAAAGCGCGAAGTTCGATCTGTGCCTGCAAGCGCAGATCATCAGGGATGTTGGCAGGCAGGTTCGATAATATCTCCATACGGTGAGCAATGCGCGCTGCGATCCTGTTCAATTAAAGATGTTCAAAATAATCTTTATTTCATAGGTAAGCATTATTACACTTGAAATCGTCACAATGGTTAAACTCTACTGCTCGTTCGTAAGGCAGATTCCCCTGAGAAGAATGAGCAAGAAACTCTAGGGGTTGCTCTTTGTAAATAACATTTTTTTTTTTTTTTTTTTTATATACCTGACAGGCAAATGACTCCACTCCACCTGATGTTAAGTGGAAAGTGGTATCCAAACATTTGTACACATTCAACATGATGATAAATGTACTTTGAGGTTAGAGTAAGAATGTTAATTTCCTTAAACTTATCTCTCAAAGATATTCTGGGACCTAGATTGTAAATTGCCCTAACCGCATGTTTCTGCAGGACAAAGATTCTATTGATATCGGCGGCATTACCCCAAAGCAAAATGCCGTATGTCATTAAACTGTGAAAATAGCTGAAGTAAACCAATATAGCACTTTCGACGTCTGAAAGTTTCCGTATTTTTTTAATCGTGTACACTGCAGAGCCGAGCCGTTTTAATAACTTACTTATATGGGGACCCCGTTGCAATATAGCATCTAACGTTATACCTAGGAAGACAACTGTATCCACAAGATTCAATTTTTCATTTCTAACTACAATGCTTGTAATCTTCTATCTAACATTGGGTAATGTAAATTTCACACAATTTGTTTTTTTCTTAAGGAGTAGGTTTTTTTTAAATTATTAATTAATAGCAAACCAATCAACTACTTTAGATATTGCATTGTATTTTACTAATGACTGTAATGAATGACAATTTAAAATAAAATTACTGAAATACTACAATGAAAGGGCCATTTTGGACTAGATTAATTTTGAAAACACCACCGATTGAAAATTGATATGCATGTACAAGATCAAATAATATTATTTACATCCAATAAACATTCAGATAATTTGGAAAAAAATATTTTACAAAAATTCGTATAAAGATGTTGAATGTTTACTTTTGAACGCGGCATAACTTCTATTTTTGCATTTTACTCAAGTCTCGCTTCCACTTGTCATGATTGGTAACTTCAAAATAAATGGATCATTTATAATGAATTACCACAGAAATAATAAATACAATAGAAGTGCTTAGTGGGTGTGACACCTGTGCCAACAGTATACGAAGTTCCGAATACTTGAGCTTAGTCCATTTTTCGCTTGTACGTTATGGTCGAGTCAATTATCTCACGCAAAACCACGAAAATCGAGGGAAAATGCCTAAATAGATGATAGCTACTATCACGCACCTATAATGTTATCTATGGTGGTGCTTCATATCATCGTTAAGGTCTTATTTTAATAAATTTTAAATGTTCTATTTATCGTAATATTTCTTGTTAAAACAAACGAAAGCAAATCGCTGCAATATGGTCGCTTTTTTTGAGAACTAAGTACCTAAGCATCTCGAATTTTCCACGCTACACGTAGTTTTTAATCGTTCAGCTATTGACCGCTAGATGGCAGCCCAATGATTGAAATTTCAATGTAAAATCAAAACATCGCAACTTACAATAATACCTATTGAACTTTCAACGATATGCCAACAGGGTAAAGTTTAAATTATATTAAATAAATGTCCAGAATTTGTTACTTTTTTATATTAGAAAGTACGACTGATGATAGTGTGGGTTTTGGCGATAGCGGTTCTGATAGTAATCGAGGCTTAAGGCATTTCCATTGTGTTTTCTTCTGTGATAATTACTATTAAAAAGTTACTTTATGTCAAGTTCTGTAATTAAAAAAAATATTTAATAAAGTGTAACATGCCGTGTGAAACGCCCGATTGAGGGTCGTCTACTTTCAGTTACTGGTCTACTGGTTAACTTACACAAAATAAGTTTATAGTCATCATCCAAATATTTTCTAGGTATTAGGTATCCATTCTCGAAAAAAATTGTGAACTTGTACAATAACATATTTTATCGAAAGAATTTTTAATATTGCTTGGGCAATATACACTCTATTTTTTAAATCATCATTTCATTCGACTAAACGGGGCGACGAAGACACAAGGGGAGAGACATCCCTAGCCGGAGCGTAATCGTTCTCTCGTGACTAGAAACTGATCCTGTATAATAATAGGGGTTAAAGTATGAAATTGCCGATTTGTACTGAAAATCTA